TTCTTTGTAGTGTTCACTATTTACTTGACTATTTGTTTTTAAATATTTGTCTTATTAGAGACTTGATTTTAATGTCATATTGTTTTTGGTTTCATTTGATGAGTATATTTATTAATGTAGAGGTTTGTGTATTTATTGTTATGGTGTGTTTAGGTTTGTCTATTAAGTTTGTTGAGGCCAGCTGGTCTGCCTTTTCATTGCCTAGGATGTCAGAGTGACTCTTAATTTTTGTCCAATTGATTGCAAGTTTTTTGATTTCTATTAGGTCCTTGATGGTACTGCTAAGGATTTGGTTTGACTGATATGTGTTTCTTCAGTATCTCATCTGTGGTAGAGGCTCTCCTAATATGTTGATTGCTACCTGACTATATATAAGAATAGTGATTGTTTTGTTTGTGCTGATGGTGCTTATTATAGTCATAATGGCCATTAATTCTGCTCTTGTGAATGAAATTACTTTAAAAAATCATTTTGAGAAAAATAAAAATAGTATTGTATGTTCTTTCTTATTGATTGTTATATGTAGTAATTATATAATTAAATAGTTTTTAGTATGCTAAAAATAGTTTATCCATAGTTTTTTTTTTTTTTTGCAACAGTCATATGCTTTATTAAAATCAAAATATGTTTTAGAGATAATTGGGATAAGTAATTACTTGTTACCGCCTAAAAATTTACAGATTAACTAATAGTATAAAAGGTATCTATTTACATCTTATCCAATTAGAATTGGATAACTATATAATCATTTAGTGTAAAACTATTTCTTAAATATAATTGATTATAGGAAAAGAAGAGTACAAGTATTTACTTTCAGTAAAGTGACTCTAACTATAAACCTATATCTAGAAATAACACTTTCAAGTATTTGACTTACTAGATGTTTTGTTATTATCTTTTGAGTAGAAGACCAATATATTAAGAAAACTAAAATGCTTAATATCACCAGTATTAGAGATATATTATATAAGAAGATCTCATTAGTACTGATAAAGAAAAAGAAAAAAAAAAGAAAAAAATTTTTTTCCTTTCTAGGAATTTTTTTTATATTATAGTCTATCTTGTTATTTAAAAGGAACTTCAGTATTATATCAAGCTGAAACCTGTTTTGTTGCAAGAAATTTTCTATAGACTGATAAGTCCTTCTTTTTTTATTATAATCAAATAAATGGTCTAGATTGAATTGACTCTTTCTTATATTCAGAGATATGATTATGTCATATTCTATATCTATCTACACCAAGCATAATGATTTATGGTGGATTCCAGATTCTTATAGAATTGAGAAAATGCATTCAGACATATGAAGTGGCCAATAGAAGCTTGTTTATTAATCTTGTCAAATGTGTTTCATATCAACCAATCAAAATCACTGAATTTATATCACTTGAAAATTCAGAATTAAGCTGGGATAGACAAAATTTTCCAGAAAGCTATGAAGTAAAAGCTCTTAAAAGCCAACACAACTAGTTAAAGAGGAAAGATAAGTCCTTTAACTAAAAAAGAACCTCTATAATACCTTGCTTTTTCACTTCAAAAGAATAGTAACAGATACTTTACTGTTAGTTTTTCTTTCTTTGAGAACTTTTTTACTATTAATGATAAAGGTGAAACTGAACATTATAGGTCACAAAAGTTCAGTTTGTCTGAAGAAAATTGTAAATAAAAAGGATGGGTAATATAACTTTTGAAGGAAGTCTTCAAGTTGGTTTAAAAAAAGTATCAAGACTTATATTAACTGAAAAGTATAAAATTAGTTTATATAATAATACTATAATATATAATATATAATTTATATTAGTTTATAAGTTTAAGTGTACTTGATATTATATTATATATTTAACAAAGAATATGACCTATTTCTAATAACTGATACAATTAATAGACTCAATAACAACAAATTTATAAGTCTATAGTACAGTGATAGTATTCTCAAGTTACAATCTTATAGTCTAGAGTTTAATATAACATGAGGGTCAAGTGAAAATTGAACTATAGATGATACAAAGATCTTATTTTTTCTATAATGATAATTAAATATTCCAATAAGACAATAAGAGATACCTGTTTGTTCATCATGCCTATAGTAAGAATGATTAAATCAATACAAGATTCTATATGAGATTAGCATGAATATTATGAGTTTTCAATATATAACTGGTACTTAAGTACTCTAACAGGAAGTAAACAAGAACTCTATTTACTTATAATAGGTATAACAAGACAAAACATAATATAAGGTTTCAAAAAATATGATTAAGATAAGTGATATGATATCCTGAATATGAACTAATCACATTTCCCTTTTCTAAGATATAAGAAGAAAGATTTAATTATTTATAGAAATAACTTGACATGCCTATAATAAGATAAGAATTCAGATCAGTATAATACTAAAAAATACAAGACAACCTTCAGATGAGATAAAAACTAAGTAATATAATATTCTTGATACAAGATCATATTTAAATCAAGTAACAAGACAAGTCAAGATATAAGACAAGCTCCCAAAAAAACTTTAAACATTAATAAAGTTACATAAGATTCTATATAAGAGTTCTTAATACTGGTGGTACTGAGTATCTCAGATGAGTTTTTGATATGTTAATTTCCTTAATAGAAATAATCACAAGTTATTTAGTGGGCTATAGTTCTAGGAAGTATCACTTCAGTAATATATAGATTTAAAATAGTGAAATCATTTTATTAGATTAAATGTATAGACTTTCAGATCCTCTAGCTTAGTTAGAATTGATAGACAGTCCTACATTAGATGATTATATAGTTATTCTATTCTAATTGGATAAGACATAAATAGATATCTATTATATTATTTATTGATCTGTAAATTCTTAGACAGTATGGATAATTACTTATCTTAGTTGTTTTTAGAATATATTTTGATTACAATAAAGCTTTTAAACTGGTACAAGAATGAGCCAGTATTTAAAAAAAAAAAAACAAATTCAATCATAATACTAGATCTTACAGGCCAAAACTCTGGAACCTAAAACTGTCAACTAAAGACAAACTTATAAAAAAGTAACAAAATATAAAAGACAATCTTTGCATTATTTATTAATACATCAAAACTAATATTTGTATTATAATATACAAAAGTAATAAAGAAAATATCTTAAAAATATTTCATCTGCTAATAAGAATATTAGTAGCAAAAAACAATATATTCCTAAGAAAATATTAAATAACAAACTAAAGAAAATAGAAAGTGGCTGGACTCAAGAGGATAAAAATTATATTGTAAGGGGGCAATAACAAATGATTTTTCCAAAACAATAAAGGAATACATAATATCATAAAAAAAAATCATTAAAAATATTATCAATAAATTTTTAATTATCCTTTAAAATAAATGGAAACAGAGATATCAGCCTTTTGCACAGTAGGAAACAAACTAAAATATAATCAAAAAAGATAAAAAGGAATAGAAAATACTAAACAAAAAAACCACTATGTATAAATTATACATTTCAGAAATCAATTAAATTATGAAATATTCTAGTTAACACTGGATTAATTGAAACAAAATATGCTCTTTTAAGACAAAATTTTTATAGTATAGATAGAGCCTTGATAGATTAATCAAGTAAATACTAGTACTTGACAATAAGCTATATAATAGAATTATCCTTAGTAAGTTTGATTAGTAACTAAAAAGTTAAATTTGTTTAAAATAAATTTGTGCATACTTCTAAACAATATTTAATAAATAAGATGTAAGCTATTTATTAAGAAAAAAAAACTTTTATAATATATTCTATTGATTATAAAGTTAGAATTTTCTTTTTTATTGGTATATATAATTATTACTTACTATAATATTTATCAATTATTATTTTAATATTTATAATTTATTCAAAATTGAAAATTTGCTATATATCAATAAATTTTGTATTCAGAAATATGTCTTATATTTCAATAATATATTTTTAATTGAACCAATATATAGTTTTTTCTATATATAAAAAATAACAATTATCTATATCAAGTAAAATATAATTAATTATATAGTTTATAGATTATTAATTTCTAAAAATAATAAAGATATATTTTTTTTTATTGTAATGCTTATATTGAATAAAAAAAATATCTTTAAAAAGTTATTATTTTTATAATGTATACTATTTTTTATATATTGTTTCTTTAAGAATAAATAAGTTTTTTATTTTATGTTTAACTTTTTTATAACTATATTTGAGTTTAGAATTGAAGAAAAACTTTGATCATAGTTTTTTATTAGATATATATATTGGGACCATTTTTTTATTTATTTCAGTAGTTTGTTAGATAAATTTTTTATTAAAAAGTTCTTTATTTATACTTATGTCAATATTAGAGTTATTAATTCTGATCTGTTATTGCTTATTATAATTTATATTTACTATTATTATTGGAGTTTTTTTGCCTAGTATTATTTTTGTTCTACTTATTTACTAAATAATTTAAAGTTAATATTGTTACTTGAATATTTCTATATTTTGTTGTGCTATTATTCAAAACATTAGATTTAGAGATTAATTATTTATATTAAAAATAGGATTGTTTTGTATTTTTAATATTTTTTTTTTTGAAATCAAATATATGTATCTTTTCTATTATTTGTATATTTTTTTTAATAAGAATGATATTGTCTTAAACAGTTTATTAATATTGTGGTCTAGCTTACTAGTTATATATTATTGTTTTTTTTTTTCTCTCTATATTGTTATACTTTTTGTTATTTTTGTTCCAAGGTTTACTAAATTACAGATAAATAAAAAATATGACAATTATATTAATTTAATAAATTAATTTATAAAAATATATATAACAAAAAAATATAAATATTTTTTTTTATTCTTTTTAAAGTTTTATATCAACTTTGAATTAACAAGTTAAATTCTTTTTAATTGAAAATGGAACAAAACATTTGATAAAAATTTTGGTAGTTTTAATAAATTTAAAAAATTAAATACATAAATAATAAAAATTAATAATTCTTACAATACTTTATTGTATATTACTTTATAAAAACCAATAAATAAGACCGATTTAACTAGTTAAAAAATATTATATATTATATGCAAAAAATAAACCATTTTGTGCTAATTCTTAAATAATATATTATATCAAAATCAACAAACTTTTATTTTTTTAAAAAAATTAATTTAAAAAATATCTTCAAGAATTATCTTTATTTCTCTTTTTTGACTTTTAATAATAAAAATAATAATAAACATCTTTTTATTTATAGATAAAAAAAATTTTTTATAAAAAATAATCCAATAATAAAATAATAAAAAATCTTTTAAACAAAACTATATTATAATCTTTTAGAATAATAAAATAATCAAATATAAGTTTTTACCTTAAAAATATTCTTTTCTATTCTCTTTCAATTACTTTTTTTTTGAAATCTTATTTATTTATAGTTAATTTATAATTTTAAGTAATATAAATATTATTGAGATAATTTATATTAAAAACAAATTATATAAATAAGTTAACATTAATTATATTATAAATTTCAATAATATTAGTAGTAATTAAAAGAATTATTGATTTTTTTATTATCATAGTCAAGTAAAGTTCAAGATCAAGATCTTTTTTTTATTTATATTAGGCAATAAGATCATTCAACTTGAGTTATATTGAGCTTTAATCCTTAGAATATAGTTGAGAGTAACATTTTTTAATAGTTCTAAAAATAATTACAGTCAATGAAGATTCTTTATATTTGTTATAAGCTTCTATACATTATAAAACAAAAGAAATATTGATGAATCTAATCTTTTAATTAATAGAATACATTTATTATAAAATTTCTTTAACTAGTCATGGTTGTTGAAAGATATCCCACTAAATAATATGACTTATTACTATTATGTTATATAAAAACCTGGATATATTATAAGTCCTTAGTTTATTGCAGTTAAATACAAAATTATTATCTAAAGTAAATTGGAACTAGGTATATTTTTGAAAGTAAAGTTTAGTAGATAATAAGCCTTCTCAAACAATACACAGGGAAGAAATTTAAATAAAGAACAATAAGTTCCTTAGACAATCAGAAGAAGAAAGAACAATCAAATAGGTCATCAATCCTTTGAGAAGAAGATGATTCAAATGTATTGGACCTTTATCACCAGACTTCCTTGCATAAATAAAGAATTTATGTATTTCCCGATGAGCAAAAAAGTTTCACCTTCGAACGATAATGCAAATCTCGTGTGATACATAAAAATAATTACATCGTTAGCAGCTAAAAAAATTATAAAAGGGCCCTTAGAATGTACAACATCCAATATAGAAGCTCAAAGTTCGATATCGGTTTTCTTTTCATCATTTGCAACACGGACATAAACAGCCACGCTAAAACTTAATTTTTCATTGTATCCTTTAGTGAATCGCTCGGAGGAAGACGAGAGTCAGCAATCACCGAATCACCGACTGTTTTTTGTCATTTAGTGCTGCTGATAGAAGACGTCCATAATCAATATAGAGCTTGTTAATTTGGTATGATAAAATTTCACTCGGTTGCTGAGTGAAAAAATAATAATTAAATACAAACTACCCTGGTCGCCGGGTGGTAAAAAAATTTATCTTAAATATGCCAATCCTTTTTAAGTTTATTTTTAACGAAAAACAAAAATAATAATAACACTCTTTATTTTAATTAATAACTTCAAAAAAATTCAAATATGATAGTTTAAAAATAAAAAGTCAAAAAAAAAAACAAAAAACTCGATAAACATTGATTTAATCGTTAAAATTCACCTAAAATAAAAAATTAAGTTAATTTATTATTATTTTAGATTATTTTAGATAAAGTTAATTTAATTATTTTATTAATATTATTCACCTGGCCTTTTCACATTAGCATTTCATCATCAACAAAATCATATGTTTCTTTTTGCTCGACAAAATTAAATTTCCAATAGTCGTAGTCACTAATACTATTGATTATTTGTTCTAACGTGATTTTGCCTTTCTGTTCGTTTCCAAAAAACTTTGGTTCATAATTCAATTCGTTCCAACTTTTGCCTTTTAAGTTTTGAGCTTGCTGACTTTCATTTATCTTTTGTTTGTTAAAATTAGCGAAAGTATTAAGGTATGCATTTGCGGAGGGATTAGGAAAAGGTTTCATGTTGTCAAGGTCTTTGCTGGCTTTATTTTCTTTGTTGTCTAAGATTTCATAAAATGCTCGTAGAATACATTTTAAACGGATGTTGCAGTTTTTGATTGTTATGCCAGTAGCATCAACCCAACGATAAAGATCTGCTTTAGTTTCATCTCTAATAGTCGGGGGAACATCTTCATCTTTAAATTCCAGCATAGACATTGCCGTGGCCAAGAACTTTTCATATGATTTTAAAATCTGTTCTCTTGCTAAGGGACTTCCTTGAGAATCGTATTCTAGGTCGACTCTTTTTATTGCTTCTGAGTTAGGGATTTGTTTTCTGTTTTCCCAGTCAGGATAGTGCATTTCAAAGACTTTTTCTACCCACTTCATCGTACTATAAAATGACTTTTGTGCAGCCAATCTTGAGTGGGCATTCTCCTGTTTTTGCCTTAAAATTAATGTACTCATGTCTTTTTTTTTGTTACGTGATCAAAATAATTTTCAGATAAATTTTTGTTCAAACCAAACAATTATAAATAATTTTTTATAACTTACTTTTATCTTTGTATTTAAAATCCAATACTAAAGTTGTAATTAAATAAAAAAATTTTCTGATCCCTATTTATATAAAGAAATTTTCGCACGATTGCCGAGCAGAATACTTGCGAATAAATTCTCACATTTACACGAGTAAAATCTTTGCATGCATCTCGCTCATTCCTAATTTTTTTCACACTACTAAAATAGATTAGGAATCAATTAAACTTTACGCGAATAACTGAATTGGGAATTAATTAAACAAATTTTAATGAATTAATAAAACCTAATTTTTTTCACGCCAATACGTACACAGACAAAATAGGAATTAATCAAAAAAAAAAAAAATTTTTTTTTACACGAATAAGCTAAACAAGAAAATCGATCAAAAAGCTTTTTTTACGCGACTAAACTAAATTAGATTTAATTGGATTTTTTAACTAAATTAGGCATTAATAAAACAAAGAAAAAAAATATTTTTTTTTCATATAAATAACGAATTAGGAATCAATGAATAAATTTTTTACACTAATACGTAAACTAAATTAGAAATAGTCCAAATAACTCTTTTACACGAATAAAATAAATTATAAATCAACCAAACAACTTTTATTTTGCACTAATATATCAAATTAAGAATTAATCAAAAAAAAAAAATTTCACGCGAATAAATTAAAATAGGGGTCAATGGGGCCATTAACGGGCCCCTTCGGACTCCGTAAAACATTTACATTAATAAACCAATAGGAATTAATCAACCAAGTTTTTTCACAATAACAAGCACGCAATCCAAGCTAGGAATTAATAAAAATAAACCTGAAATCAATCAAACATCTTTTTTTGACCGAATAAAGATTTGGTCAAAAAATTTAACTAAATTAGGGGTCAATAAAACATTTTTTTTTCCACACGGATAAGCTAATTAGGAAAAAATCAAATAAATTATTTTCACATTAATACGAAACCTAAATTAGGAATTGGTCAAACAACCTTTTTTACGCGACTAAATTAACTAGGAATTAATAAAAATTTTTCACGCGAATAAACTAAATTTTGGATTAATAAACAAAAAATTTTTTTGAATAAACTAATTTAACTAAATTGGGAATTAATCGATTAAATCAATTATTACGCATACGGAAATAATGAGTAATGTTTAAATAGAAAAGGTTAAACAAATATATTGTACTTGCTAGATCCTAGACTTGTCTTTAAGATAACGAATAGTTAAAAAGCAGGAAAAAAAAATTATATAAACTGAGACCTGACGAAGTTGGCGCATAAATATTTCATTCGAATAAAGATGCCCGAAAGTTGGGTTGATTTGGTTATGCCCTGTCCAACTACTACGTGTTTTATGTACGCAGGCGATAGACCCCTTATATACTGGGGTCATGTAGCATGTAACGGTGCTTCTATGAAAATATCTGATGAGGCCAACATACAATGCACCAAATGCGGATTTAAAAGATTTATGACTTTTTTTACTTTTCAATGTTCACGGAAAGAACATAACGGAAAATTTGGGGAAGTTGGTTATAATGTTTTAAGAACGGCTCTAATCACGGCTCTCGAACACAGAGATTCCGATAGTGATGTTATTAGAAGACTATATAAATACATAAAAGAAAACAAATATAAATTTGAAACTTAAACTTATTTTTAAAAATCCTTTATCTAATTTCTTTTTTAAACTGTTTGGTTGTTTTAAAAAACATGATTTTTAAAAATATTATTAGCTTTAAATTGTTCTTTTTTTAATTATATTGTGTTTTTTTGTGACTTTTTACTTTTAAATGTTATAGCTAACTATCATACTTTGAATTTTTTTTTGAAATTATTATTAAATAAAGAGGTTAAATTATTATTATATTGGTATTCTAAAAAGTTTATTCTACTAAAAATACTTTTTGTATGACCAAAGTTAAATTTAGCTGAAATTCATTATAATGAAAGATTAAATATCTATGAAACGGTTGCACACCAAATGTAGACAATAAAGACCAACTAAATTATATTGATCACACTTTTGAGAAAATGTTAGCTGGCAATGGACAGTGAAAGATTTTTTATAGAACAAATTTTGGTGCGTTTGTTCGTTTACCTTGATTTTTCTAAATAAGAGCTTGGGTATGTGATAATGATATCGATAAAGCAAAGAATTACCGCGAAGAAGGCTTTTGTATGTTTTATGCTTTGTACATTATTAATAAAACAATAAAAATAAGTACATTATGTGTTCTCGTCAATCTGTTAAAATTTTAGCGTGTTGTCTGTGAATTGACAAGAAAAAAATTTTTTATTTCGTACATGCAAAAATAAATACTAAATTCGGACGTGGTCCGTGATGCATATTATTTTTTGATAAATTTTTTGTTTTTAACCCTTTTGCTAAGGACTATCAACACTAATTTATATTTTAAGACCCAGCAAATTTAACCTTCTCACATTGTTACAAAGTAACTCGGGATTTTTTAACCGCAGATTTCGTGTGGTTAACAAATACCCACTGCCACCTGTACAGGTATAACATCCAGAGTATATATTATAAAGTGTCCTCTTTCCAGTGGCCAAAATGGTCTTTCTCAAACGCTTGATCCGTAGTTCATTTTTTTTTATTGATTTGAACGCACTTTTAAGTTGCCAGATTCTAAGAAATAATCAATAATCAATGCCTCCAATACATATAAATCAAAGTAAATGGGACAGAAAGTTACGATAATCTTAACTCTTCTAACTATATACGTATTATGATTCTCTTATCGATGGCTAACTATACCAATCTTTGAAGAAAAAAATCAAGCATTACAGTTCAGATCCTTAAATTCTTGAAGATAGCTTTCCAAATATTGCTAGTAAATTTGCTCAAAACAATTCATAGTAGTGAAGAAAATCTTATTTTATTTTATTTATTTTCTTAAACACGAAACAGTCCCGCTTTATTAGAATCAAAATGGTACATATTACTTTAAATTACGGAGCAATTCTGTTATCTATTCTCTATGCGTTTTGGCCCATCCTATTTTTAAAAATATGATTTGTATCACTACCTCCGTGACTTGTTATATTAATCACAGAAGAACTAATATGCATAGGTTCCATTAGCGTGTATTTCTAATATGTCATATATGATTTTGTTTCCAGTGATAACGTCAGTCATTAATTTTATTTCTGCTGGTGTGTCGTCGACTTTTATTGGCGTTTTGGTGTTTGTGTTTGATTTGTGTGGTGATGTAGTTTTTGTTTGACCCGTTGCTTGTTTCCCATTTGTGTAGTGCACAGTATCTGTTTTTTCAGGTGTTGAAAGTTAGGAATCTATTGCAGTTAATGATACCTTTGATTGTTTTGCTTGTTTTTCTAAGGCCTAGACGGCTAGTTATGAGCTTAGTGATTTTTTTGTTAATCTCACTTCTGATGATTATGTTTTATGCAGCATTTCTAGCCAAGCTTGATGTGGCTGTTGTCTTTATTTGTATTTGTGGTTTGTCCGTTTTTGCTAGTATCTCGCTGCTAATTATGTTTAGAATCATGTCTTGTCTTTGATATCAATATCATGGTTTTTATAGTAAAAGGAGTGTGTATCTTCTTGAACTTCGGTGCAGACAAAACATTTGTCGAATGGATATGCTATCAGATGGCAATTGTTCAACTTTACAATTATGAGAAGCTCCTTGTTCAATAGTGTTTTAAAAATGTTTACAATCTGTAATTACACAATTTATAAGGTAAAAAGTTGAGGTTTGATGACTAGAGATGTAGGAAAGTGATTTTCAGTTAATTTTAGATTTGAGTTCTAATATGAGGTTAATTTCAAATGAGATTTATACAGTCCATAATCTATAGTGTTTACATAATGGTATAGATGGTTTTTTGATGTTTTTGTTCATCTTTGCATTCTATACTATTGCATATAATAAGTTTCTTATTATCAATATTGACTGTAGGAGATTTGAATGACATTATTTTTGGATTGAACAAGTATTATTTGGAATTTTGGTCTACTTATTTATATTCTAGTAAAGATTTTTATAGGAATATTACTGTATGTTGTTAAATATACAATTGACTAATTTAAGTATGTTTTTAATAAAGTTGACCAAATATAAGTCATGATATCTTTTAACATTAACTCTCCAAGCTTCTAACCAGGTCAGTATAGAGAAAACACCTTTTTAAACATTAGAAAGGACCTTGCAAACAATAGTTACAACTAGTAAACTAGCTACAACTCAAAGTTTGCAAAAATTCAAGAGGATGTCAGGAACCTAGAGCAATAGCTAAAGGAATATCAGAAATCAACAACAATATATAAATATAATACAATATATCACATAAACAGATATATATCCCTTACATTCAAGAAACTTGAAGAAAACAAAAATCAAATACAAAAACACTAGTTTACATATTTGATTACAATGCAACAATAAATCAAAATAGCAATAACATGTGAAGAAAATTAGACATACTAGGTTGTGAAGGATGTGTTCAGATATAAATAATACAATAAACAAATAAATAAATAATAATATGTAAAGAAAAACAAGACAGACTTGATTGTGATCAATGTGCTTAGACATAAACAGTATAACAAACAAATAAATAAACAATAACATGTGAAAAAAAGCAAGACAAGACTAACTTAATTGTGATCAACATGTCTAGATATAAGCAGCACAACAAATTAAACAATAACACTTTTTATTTTAAACAAAATAAAGTGTTAATTAATCTGCATCATGTTATATTATGGTAATCAAAGAACAAAAGATAATCCAAATTCTAGAATAATGAGAAAAGGAGCTATTAAAGATTTTGAAAAAAATAGCTTCTAACCAAGATCTTTAATAGAA